CTTCACTGCCCGCTGTCCCCCGTGTCCTTCACTGCCCGCTGTCCCCCGTTTCCTTCACTGCCCACTGTCCCCCGTGCTCCTTCACTGCCCGCTGTCCCCCGTTTCCTTCACTGCCCGCTGTCTCTCGTGCTGTTTCCTTGTTGCACTTCGGATGTAGTATTACAATCCCTGCACCTAAGGACCACGCTACCAGAGAATTTGTAGTCAGACTTAAACTTTCATGGCTACTCCAATATTTAGGGCTACTTGGACTTGGCAGTAGTAAGCAGGTCAGTGTAACTAAGTGAGTAATCCATTAATAGGGCATTTTCTAGAAAATGATGTAATGTAATAAAGTATTTCAAATCAATAAGGGCATTAGTGTGTAAAAGTTAACTGATAATCAGTTATTTGGAGGGGAAGGAACTGCATATCTTAAGATAAATTCTAGAAAGATTGTTTAAATTTTATGGTTTAAAAGTACATTAATAAATACTTTTATGTTATTTTTCTTTAAAAACAAAACAAAAACAAAAACATGGAGTCTAGTTGCCCTCCCTTTGAGGGTTACTTTGCCTTATTGACTCATTCCTAAAAATGACTGTATTAGTTATTTTCCTATTGCTGTAATGAAACATCATAACCAAAGCAGCTTGCAAAAAGAAAGCATTTAATTGGGCTTATGGTTTCAGGGAATGGAGAGTCTGTCACGCAAGGCAGCCTGGCACCAAGCCATAGGCATGGTGGCCAGAACAGCTGAGTGCTCATATCTTGGTTTGCAAGCAGGAAGCCGAGAGGCAGACTGGAAATGGCCCAAGTCTTTCGAAACCTCAGGACTCAACCCTGGTTGCACACCTTCTCCAACAATCCTTTCCAAATAGCCACCGACTGGGAACCAAATATTCAAACATCCAAGCCTCTGGGGGTCAGCCTCATTCAAAACACCACAGCTTCAAAGATTATGGTGTCAAAAGCTCTGGATTTCTTTTCCTCTGCCTTTTCTCACATCATGTGTTATTATTACATAGGGACGCTCCACTAGAATTGTGGCGGGGCCCACATTGTCAGCGGTCACATACGTGAACCTGTTTGGTAGCGGATCCATCCGACTCAAATGGATCACATGAGAGACCTTGAGTCAGAACCACTCGGTGAAGGGGAGCAGGGCGAATATGAGCAAACGACACGGTATACCTGAATATAAATGTCATAAATGTGACTGTAAAAACAATGTGTGCTAAGTTCCTGGCCAAAATAAACAATATAAAACAATAAATCCTTTTATGTTATCAGATAATTTGTGGATAATTTGATATATGTGTGTGTATGTATATATTTTCATATGTGTGTGCGTGTGTGTGTGTGTGTGTGTGTGATGCTGTAACTAGTTCAAAGATCAAAAAACAGTGCCTTTAAAGACAGAACAGACATGGAGTTTGGAAAGGAAAGCACCTTTCAGCTCTCATGGAAAAGTCTCATGCTGCTTGAGTTTAGATTTCACCAGCTCATGTAACAAATGAAGCCACACTGACCATGTTACTGGATGATTTCAGCTTTGGTTTCAAAGTTAAATGTGATCCTAGGAAACCACCCTTTTTTGAGGTGCTATGGCTTTGAAAAGACTATCAGTGTCCACCAGATATCCACAGCACCTCTTGTTGGCAGCCTCCTTTGCAGTTATAATGAATGAATCTGTACAACTTGGCTGGGTCAGAAAGATGCAGGTGTCACTAAACCAAACCTTAAAATCTATACCATGGGGTCGGGGGATCCCAAAGAGATGGCTCAGCAGTTAAGAGCACTTGCTCTTCTCTTCCAGAGACCAAGGTTTTGTTCCCAGCACCCTCATCAGACAACTTAAAACCACTAGTAGCTCAGCTCTGAGGGTCCTGGGTCCCTTTTCTGACTTCTGTGGGCACTGCACATATGAAACTCACATACAGTCAAGCAGGCACACACATATACACAGGTTGATAAAAGTAAAAATGTAATGATTAATCAGAAGTATACGATGCAACCTTCCAGTCTCTTCTTCCTCTGCAGTGGTAACTCCAGGTCTCCAAGTGAAATACCTGAGGGACAGAAGAAGGAAGAATTTACTTCAGCTGAAAATTGTATGAGACTGATAAATCTTGGGTTATGCCTCTGAAGTGGAAGGTTCAGTTGTTACTTCAACCAAGTCTGATCCATCCTGACTACCCCTTCCTAGGGTTTCTGGATCTTTGGAGGGTATTTTTCAGAGCCAGGGCCAATTCAACATGTGTGTGTCTGTTTATATGGCTTTCTCATTCAGTTTAGTGTGTGTGTGTGTGTATGTGTGTGTTCTAACTCAGAGTCCTGTGCATGCTATACAAGCTTTCTCTTCTGAGCTACAGCTCCACCCACCTCCAGCCTACTAGAATGCTTTAAGCAGATAGTTCACTTCTAGAGTTTTTGGGATCCTGGCATTCACCATGCTGACTCAGATGTGGACCTGAACCTTGCCTGTAACATTCTGTAGCCTGACCAAAAGCAAGCCATGATATTCCACAATACTTGGACATTAAAAGATTAGTCTACTACTGAGTACTCTAAATACCTATAGACTGCATAATTTCTTAAGATGATCCCTGAAGAGGACAATACACATAAACACACACATCCATGTATGCACACAATCATTCGCAGGGGGCACGGGGAGTCCTGACTTCTCCTGTTCAATTAGCCTTGTCTGAAGCAGCACTTTGATGTTTTGGGGATCTGTCCTTTCTCTTCCCAGGATATAGACAGAGGTGATGTGATGTGGGATTCCCCTCTGTATGCTGTGATTACCTCTGATTAATAAAGAAACTGCTTTGGACCTATAGCAGAGAAGAACAGAGGTAGGTTGAGAAAACTAAACTGAATGCTGGGAGAAAGAAGGCAGAGTCAAGAGATGCCATGTAGCCAGCCACCAGAGGGGAAAGACGTAAGTTGCCAGGTGGAACCTTGCCGGTAGGCCACAAGTCTCGTGGTAAAATACAAAATAATAGAAATGGGTTAATTTAACATGCAAGAGTGTGCTAGGAATATGCTATAGTGATTGGCCAAGTAGTGATTTAATTAATACAGTTTCTGTGTGGTTAATTTGGGAGTCTGGGAGGCCAGGAAATGAAAAAGTAGCCTCCTACAACAGTGATGAACTCCTCTCAGGGAGAAAGGGAGTTGGGGAGGACCAATACTGTCCTCAGAAACATTAGTTAATTTCTATGATGTTTGTTACATAGCTGTAACATGAGGGGCTGGCTTGTTGGGGTTTCTGTCCTGCCCAGTACCCCACAAGCCAGCAAGTCCCCAAGAAAATCACACACAGGACTCCTTAAGATTATAAACTGATTGACCCTTAGCTCTGGCTACTTATTAGCTCTTATAACATATATTACCCCATTATCCTTATCTATGTTAGCCATATGGCTTGGTACCTTTTTCAGCTGTCAGCTCACATGTTTGCTTCTTCAGTGGTCTGGGAAGGAATGGAGGAGGGAGCTTCCTCCTCCCTAGCCTTCTCCTATTCTCATTGCCCCACCTCTACTTCCTGTCTGGTTGACCCGCCTATACTTCCTGCCTGGCCAATCAGCGTTTTATTAAAATACATGGTTGACAGAATACAGACAATTCTCCCACACATAGCAGTTCCTGGTGTTTAAAAATATTTATTTATTTTTATTTTAAGTGTATTGGTGTTTTGCCTGCACATTTGTCTGTGTGAGGGTGCCAGATTCCCTGGAAGTGGAGTTAAAAACAGTCATGAGCCACCATGTGGAATTGAACCCAGGTCCTCTGGAAGAGCAGCCAGTGCTCTTAACCACTGAGCCATCTCTCCAGCCCAGCAGTCCCTGCTTTAAGGGTCTCACATATATTAATTTAATCTTTAAAACAATCCTACGAAGCAGCTATTATTATTGTCTATTTTGCAGATGGTGAAAACTGAGACTCAGAGAAGTTAACAGCCTGAGGCTATACAGTTATGTGGTCACAAAAGAAACCCAAAACTCAACAAAGATAAAAAAGAAATACTTTGGAGCTGGGTCATTTTTCAAGAGTTCTTCCTCCAAATTTGAAAAACAAAGGTCAACTACTCTAAAAACAGAAGTCATAATTACATGAATTTATTTATGTGTATGTATGTATGTGTGCCATGGTATACCATGTGTGGTGGCCGAAGGACAACTGTCAAGAGTCTGTTCTCTCCTTCAACCACGTGAGTTCGGGAATCCAACTCAGGTCATCCATCACAATTGGCAGCAAGTACTTTTGCCCACTGAGCTATCTCACTGGCCCAGGACAATTTCTTTGATTTCCTATCTCCTGTGTTAGTCCATGCGTACAAGTTCAGTTGTCTTCCTTTATAAAGACTCTGTCCCCCTTCATAAAATGACAGCTGATAGCAAGGATTGGCAAGGGTGTGGAGGAAAAGGCTGTGTGTGGTCCCTGAGAAAGGTAGCATGCAAATCTGCTCCTTCCTTTTAGAACTTTGTTCCGGACTTGCCCGTCAAAGGTTGATAGCAAGCTTCTAAGGCCAGTCCACTCTCCCCTCCCCAAGTCAACAGTGCCACCTGCCACACACTCTGCACACCCCTCAGCTTCCAGGTTTGAAAGGAAAATGGAATCAATCACTGGGCACACGGAAAGGCAATGCTCAGGACAGATTTCAAAGGCAACTCTCTCTTTAAGGCAGCAGATGTTCCTGCGATGAAGAACAAAGCCACACAACACTTTGGGAAGATACGCCTCTAGCATAAGGACAGGTAGTCCCAGGGAAGCCACAGAACCAGGCAAAGGTAAATTTAGCCACCGGATCCTCTCAGCCCGCACATTTGGAGAGAAATCAAGTTGCAAAGCACAGAACCAAAGTTTGCATCAGGTTGGTTTGGTTTCCTCGCCAGTACGTCCCTTGAGAGTTTAGCAGTCAGTCTGACTCAGTTTAGGTTTGGTTTAATTTTTCACTCATGAATGCATTTACTTATTATTGCAAATATTTATTCAACAGGTAACACATGCCAGTTGACTTTGCCCCAGTCCTTGAGCATACAAAGATGGGTAAGAAGACTTGTATTTTGTGTGTGTGTGTGTGTGTGTGTGTGTGTGTGTCTTGTACTCTCATTATACTGTGTATTGTGACTGGGGTCATGGAGTAATCTGGTGTAATAAGGAAGTGAAATTGCTCATCTTTCCAGCTACCTTATGATGTTTAAATTTAGACTTGAATAAACAAATAAAAAAAGTCTCCTGGTTCAAAGTACAAGGTTAGGTACTGAAAATTCTCCTTTCCACCTCTGTCTTCCAGCAGCCCAGGCACCCCACAGTCGGCCAAAGTTAGTGGTTTCTGATCGAATGCTTGGGAGCATTTTTATGAACATATATGAGTATGTCCATGCTTGTTTACCATATATAAATTATATAGTATTAATGGCTGGGATATATAGCTTCTTAAAACACAATCTTTTCTCTCTTTTTTTTGGGGGGGGGGGTGGTGTTGTTATTTTGTTTCTTGTTTGTTATGTTACCCAAACTTCCAGGCTCAAATGATCCTCCTGCACAAGTTCCTCGAGTTTCTGAGACTAGGCACCTACACCACAGCACCAGGCTTATACCTCTTTATAAAGAGTTCCACTCTTCATTCTTCATAGCTGAGCATGGTATTAAGGTTTGACTATGTTCTCAAAGTGCATACCTTGACGTTCTAGCCCCCAACGTCCCATGAAACTAATCTAATTTGGATCTCAGATCAGTTCAGATATAAACAACTAAGCCAAAGTCGTAGTGAAGAAGGTTAGCACAGTGTGTTTGTGTGTTTTTAGGTAAAAGTACAACATTTCTATGCAAACGAGAGAGATAAGAGCATCCACAAATTCAGGAAGAACACTGTGAAGACAAAGGGAGAGACCAGAATAATGTGTCTATGTGGGAAGGAACACCAAAGACTTTCAGCAAGCCACCAGGAGCTAAGTAAAAAGCGTGGAATAGATCCTGTCTGATAGGATCCAGGAAGAATTGATCCTGGGCTCTTTTTTTTAAAACTTTGTGTGTATATGTACATGGGCGTGTAGGGCTGAGGTAAACAATAGGTGTCTACCTCTATCATAATCCACCTTGCTTTTGGAGACAGGGTCACTCACTGAAGCTGAAGCTCACTGATTCACCCAGCTACACAGTCACTGCACCCTGGTGGGGGGTTTCAGACCTATGCTGCCAAGTCAGAAGTTTTCCATGTGTGTGTGTGGGGGGGGGGGAATCCAAACTCCAGGACTCCCACTCTCACAGCAAGTGCTTTACTCCCTGAGCCATCTTCCCAGTCCTGTAGACTCTTTTGACCTTGGATTTTAAGCTTCCTGAATTGTGTGACAGTAAGTTTTTGTTATGTAAGTCACATAGTCTGTGGTGTTTGATCATGGCAACCCAGGCAAACTAAGTACATGTGGGTGTACAATAATTCCTTCTGTGGAGGTCCAAAAATGTGAGCCATTTTCACCCTGTCTGAAGGTCAGAGAGTTTGAGGTTGCTCAAAATTGTTGATAACAACAAGGACTATGCTCCTGACCAAGGGTGTGCTTACTTGGTTCTTTTGACATTAAGATGGCCCATACAGTTGGATCCATTCGAACCTGATCAATGGTCAGCATCAAGCATACTTCTTCTTTTGTATTAGGAAGTTTAACCTGGGAGTGGCTGCCTTCAGGATACTTGGTCTAGGGTGGCTTCACTGCCTAAATAACAGAATGCTAATGACTTGATGTCTCAAAGTACTGAAGCAAATAACTGTTCTAGCTCTCCTTTGTATCATGTTAAAGCAGTCTGTTGTCCAATAAGGACCTGAGACATACATGGATCTAATCTACATGGGAAGTAGAAAAATACAAGATCTTCTGAGTAAATTGGGAGCATGGGGACCATGGGAGAGGGTAGAAGAGAAGGGGAGAGGAAGAAAGGGGAACAGAGAAAAATGTATAGCTCAATAAATCAATAACAAAAGAAAAATATCTGAAAATTTTTTAAAAAATTAAAAAAGGCAGTTTGTTCTCTTCTCCCCCTTTTTGTATTGGGGTATAAAAGTGTATGAAAAATTAAAAGCAGGGATTTCAGTATTCACTGAAACGCCCTCCTGGTACTGCCCTATGTTTATGTTTTATTATTTTTACTTGTGTCTTTGTCCTCTTTTCTGATCCCTATGCCCCTACCCTGGCAAGTGGTATTTTTGTCGAGGCTGGTCCCCAACATCCTTCCATACTTTGGACTTTTAGGTGTTTCTCTACTCTGTTACCTAAAATTACAGCAATTAATCATCTTTTGCTACACCATTCCACACTTGTGTGTGTGTGTGTGTGTGTTAACCAGTTTTTTTTGTCACTATGACAAATGCCTAAGCTGAATCAAATTGGCGAAAATAATCATTTGATTTGACTAGCAGTTTCAGAAGTTCTAATCCATGGTTGCTTGGCCCTGTTGTTTTTGGTCTGTGACAGCAAAGTATATCCTGGTAGGAACAAGTCGCCTACCTTGAGTCAGCCAGAAAGCAGAGAGAGACAGAAAGGGCCTGGGGTCTCAGTACCCTCTCACAGGACATATTCTCAATGGCCAAACTACCTCCATTAGGTTCAACCAACTCCTAATAATGCCACGGTGCTCAAGCCTCCAACACATGAGTCTCTTAGGGATATTTTGGATACAAAATATAGCACTATCATTAAGCCACACGGTGAGTGTCTAGAACAGAACTGGTGTGTGTGGCAAAGGCTATGTGCACATGAATCCATACTGCCCAGTGTCTTCCCTAGAGGCTCAGTCAGGAGCTCCAACCCCACAGCAGATGAATGTGTTTCCATCCACATACATCCAGTATGTTATCAGGTTTAGGGCCTGACATTTTGATAAAAGAAAAATTGGTGTTTCTGTAAAATTTGGGTACGCATTGCTCGAAAAATAAAGGATTTGTTTATGTGTGTGAGTATATTGCTTGCATATGTGTTTGGACGTGCACTGTGTCCATTCCTGGTGCCTGGGTAGACCAGAAGGCTAGAACTGGAGCATAGGTGGTTGTGAGCTGCTATGTGGGTGCTGAGAATCAAACTCCAGTCCTCTGCAAGGGCAGCAAGTGCTCTTAACTGCTGAAACCAATTTTCCAGTGGGTTGTGCATCTTCCTCATGACTTTTCTAGAAAAGCTCCTTGTGTTGCAGGAGAAATGGCCCTTTGTGATGTAAGATGCAAATATTTTTCTTAGGTAGTAATTTGAAAATTTATTTTCCTTGTTGTGACTTTCCATAAAAAGTATTTGATGTTGGTGTGGTTATTTTTCCACTGTTTATCTTTTGTGTTATAATAAAAAAGAAAAGCATTTCTGTATTTCAATATGATCAGAAATTTTCTGTGATTGTTTTCCTAATACTTGTATGGAATTGGTAGCAGCAATGGTGATGGTCAATGCCTATGCATTTCCTTGTTTATTCATGACAGGTTTGCTGTGTTGCCCAGGGGAGCCTCGATACCCTGAGCTTAAGTCAGCTCACTGCTGGAGCCAATTATGTGTCTTAGACTACAAGCATGCACCTTCCTCATCCCATTCCTGGCTCATGCATGCATTTAACACACACACACACACACACACACACACACACACACAGTGTAGGCTGGTATGAAGACTGGGGTTTAAAGGGAAAAAAATCATTTTTAAAATGCTTCCCAGTTGTGCCATCTTCCCCATACTCATTTGAAATATGACCATCATACATTAAATGCCTGTCCTGTGATGCTCTATAGTTAGGGTTTATATGCATGCTTTGGAATTTTGCCCACTTAATTATTGATATGTTTTAGCAGCCCTCCCCCCATCGCTAGTTCTTTTTCTAAAACATTTTCTGGCTGGAAACAATCAAAGGTCTGTTCATTTTTCAGGTGAGTTTCAGAGTCGATGGTAAGTTACAAAGAAGGTTGTTGCTGTTTGCTACTGGAGCCATTACAGAAAAGAAAAGGGGCGTCGTTCTGATACCAAGTCATTCCTGACATTTGAATCCAAGAAGCTTTGCACAAGTTCAGTTGCACTTCTGTATTCCCAGGAGCACTGCAAAATTTCCTCATATAGATCATGCGAGTGTTTTGTTAGTTCCTATTTCATTTTTGCTTTGTTTCTACTGTAAATGCACTTTTGCTTCATTTATTAGAATTATAGCTTATACATAAGGAAACTATTGCTTTCTTTGTGTTAATTTTGAAAACACATACTTTACAGTGTTGTCTTATTGTTTACTCTGGTTTTCCAAGTTAATTCCTTTGGGCTCTATAAAAGTAAAATCTTGTTATCTGGAACTAGGATAATTATACCCTTGCTGTGCAGTGTTTATATTCTATTTTTTTCCTTCTCCAGCTGCAATGGGAAATAATGATAGTAATGGGTAGCCTCTTGTTCTGGCTCTTTGAATGCTTTCAGTGTTTCCCCTGCTGCACTTACAAGTGCCTCCATCCCTATTGTTCTTATTTTTAGGACTCTTTACCATGTTTTGTCTGTTGATCCAGTAATCCTCCTTTTGTCAACCATTTCAAGAAGCATTCAGAAAAATCTTTGTACAGTATTGTTTATTATAGAACTAACTGGCTTTCTCGAGACTTAATTAGGAGTACCTCATAAGTGAACAAGAGAAGAATGGTTAATGCAATTCTAACTCAACAGAACATCACAGAAAATAGTAGCACCGTGGGAAATCATAACATATAACATTGCTTTTTTAAAATCACTATAAAAGTACATCCGTAGTTTGATTGCAACACTCTGAAAAATATCCATTCACTAATGGTAGAAAAGGAAGGGTGGCTTGGTGTGGTGACACACATATTTAGAATAGCACTGTGGAGACAGGCAGGTGGATCTTTTTGAGTTCAAGGCCAGCTACAGAGTGAGTTCCAGGACACCTACATAGTGAGACCCTGTCTCAAAAAAGGAGGAGGATCTTTACAAAGATGTTAATGGTGGTTGTCACTAGGTAATTGTTCTGTTTTTTATTTTTTTGTTTGTTTTGTTTTGTTTTTTGTCACCTTGACACAAGTGAGAGTCATCTGAGAAGAAGGAACCTCAATTAAGAAATAATGGACTACAATCTGTAAGACAGATGATGGGCCACAGTTGCTTTTGGTCATGGTGTTTTATCACAGCAATATAAAGCTAACTAAGCAACACAATGGCAAATAATTTTTTCCTCTTTCTTTCAAATTTTACATGATGAATTGATGCTTTGCTAGTCTCAGAAATGAGATTTTTTTAAAAAAATAAAATTGTAACCAAATTTAACAGCTATACTTGGGCCACTCCAAATAAGAATAAATTAGAGGCGTCACCATCACGACACTCACTGGCCTTCTGAAGATGCACATCCAATTTTAATGGACATGCAACATTATTCACTATGAAATCTCTGATTTGGGCACATTTAGAGTAAAAGGGGGCATGTGAAATTCATTTCAACAATACATTTTATTCAAGTCAGTGTGAGACTGACCTCTTCCTGAGGCACTGGTAAGTTTTAAATACTATTAACTGACTGTTTCAATCTCTTGTGATCACTTATCGTTAACCAATTTGTTACACTTGAATTGAAAGAATCCCTTCTAATGTTCACCTTCCTGTAAATAGACATATATTGGAGGATGGGGCAATGGGACTCCTTAATTAGTAGCTATCTGACTCTCCCTTGCTGCTCTTCTGCTGGGATTACCTTGAGCAAAAACATTCTGACAGTTAAGTTGACTGGCCTTATGCCAGGATCTGCAGGGAATATGTATGGACACCCTGAGAAAAGCAGAGCTGGTTGGCCCAGGAAACCCACACTAGGACTATTTGAAACGGTCTGTACTGATGTTTTTGCTACCTCAGGCATCAGTAAACTCTAGATGACACTACAGCCATTTCTACCTTGGTTACTGGGGATACCTGCCTGGTGATCTGGCATAGTAATTGTGCTTAGAAGAAAGGCTGTGATTGTCTCCCAAAATATCTGTGATTAGCCCAAATACCCATTCTCAGGCTATATGAGCAGGGTGTTGAGCTACACTTACTGAACCAGCTGGGAGACACTCTCCTGCTCTATCTCCTCTGATGTCGCAACAACAGGTTCAATAAAGCCGTCTGTCTCACGGTCTGACCAGCTCTTGGTAGTGTAGGTTGGGCTAATAACACAGCAAGAAGCAACAGGGACATCAGAGAGTGGCAACGACGATGGTAGAGGCAGCACAGTGGCACCAGCAGTAACAGCAAAGCAGTTGGCAGACCAAACTGAAAGCCGTTAGACAGCGAGTTGCTTTACGGTAGGCAAGAAGCAACTGAACAGTTTGCCTAGCTAGAGTAAAACGAAGGGTGACAAGAAGAGGGAGACAAGAAGGTAGAGGCCTTGTGCTAAAGAGACAAAAGACTGTAAGAAGCCAAAGAGGAGAAGTGGCATCTGGCCATCAGAAGAGT